GCAAGTGTGTCATCCGGTTTGTGAGATCGGATGGTTGCCGCTTGACCATGCGTCTTCCTTCATGGGTCCGTGATTTTGATGATACTGTTTACTCATTCCTTGGTGATATTATTATCAAGTAGGCTTCTAAGTCCAGCAGAAGTTCACGATTGATACAATAGAAAACGACGAAGATACGACGCGAACTCAATTTTCGGAGAAAAATCACTGTTGGAGTTAGAGTAGTTAAATTTAGAATTCAAATTGATATGGTATTATTATCATGTACTATCTCAACATGTATATTATATACCACGTAAGTGACGTAAACGTGGACAAAACGGAAATCTATTATTAAATAAACATTTTAATAAACATTTTAATCACAGCAAAATTGCTTATTAGTCCTGTTTATATAACATGTTGTAGTCCATTAGTCAAGAGAAAAGGAGATCCATTGTACGCGCGGGACTATCATCCAGTCCCACATTTCATCTTGTGTCCGAGTCTGCAACATAATGTGTAACTCATGAAGACGTTCAATCAATTTCTATATATTCGATATTAATAGGTCCTTGGTAAATGACATGTAGTACATAATTCAGAATAGAGTTCTCGATTAGTTAAAGTGGAACTACCTTGTTGTATATTAATTTATTTAAGCAATATAGAATGTAAACGTAGATTTTATATAATGCTGTGTGGCCTGGCGAGAGTTCAATTGAAATTATCACACGACCTATTATATACTCAACGCTGCTATTGTGTGAACACTTAACCCACCAATACGTTATCAATCTTATAAATCACTCCATTCACGCCTTCAATGTTCCCTACTACTTTCGCTCTTCCATCAATGATAATAACTCTGTCCACGTGTTCTACTCGGACAACCCTCCCCTCTTTCAGTGTCTGAAAATATCCATCTACCGTAGCCACCAGTGTATAAGGTGCGAAAGAATGAAAGAATGACGAGCCGAATTTCGGTCTTCTCCCGAGCTTTTGACTGTAAGTTTGTGTTTAATGAAAGCGCGGTCGATTGGAGCAAAGATTGTGACTTTCGAGAATGTGATGAGATTAGAGACATAGTTTGGAGTCACTGCATACCATGTCCTCGTAGGCCCTTACTCCGTCCATAAAGTTTCATATCATGTGACTGTAATATTTACATGACACTCGAAAATTGTCTACACAATTTAGAGCATTTATTCAACAGATCGAGCCGCTTGTAACGGGCTCTGGATGTCATGCTCCAATCACATTTTTGGGGTTTGACGTTGGGTGCAAATATCTTATTTACATTGAATATTGTGATTTGTTGAAAAATAAGACAGATTTGTGGCCCATCACCAAATAATAATAAATGTAATCAATTTTAAGCAGCCCTAGCATGTTGGAAATTGCAGCTCTTGGTCCAATTCACAAAGCTTTCCAGTCGAGACTCGGGGAACGCGACTTTGTGAAAAGAGGTCACATGTTTTTACGACAAGCTTTTTAAATATGCTGTAATTCAATGGCTCAAACCAGTCTCATCCGTTGAGCAATAAATAGCAAGATAAGCATTGTGGTTGATCACACATGATTATGGTCAGCGATTATATCACATAGATCCACATTGTCACCTAATTTTATTAGCTGAAAAGTATTAAATTAAATATTACATGTCAATCAGAATGCGAGCAATTATTTAGTAATCTATCAGAAACATTATATAATCAAGCGTATCTGTACTCATCGTCGTCATCATCATCGCTCCAAGATAAAAGACGATGTGGTTTTTTCTTATTTTGCACAGTTTCAACACTCATTATTGTTCTTACACCAGAAATTTGTCTCAGGTCATCAGAAGACCCCTCTACAAAGTTCCAAGGAGCATTTGAAGAAGGACGAGCCAGTTGAATACCGTCTCCCCAACAATATATAATAAGAGAAATAGTCGTAATAAAAATGACCGCTACAAACATCGCACGAGCACCAAGATTATCATATATTAAGCCACCAGCAAGACCACCAAAGCCCGTGCCAATACCTACGGAAAAGAACGATGATAGAAATTTCAGAAATACTATATGACCCGGTTCCTTTTGGGAATTATCAGTCATGACATTCACTTACCCGCGAATGCAGCCATCATTAATCCTTGCGAAAA